AAAAACGCATATTGCAACGACCCTGTCAGTGTGTGTGTGTGTGTGTGTGTGTGTATGTATGTATGTGTGTTCGTCTGTCCGGGTATTTCAGCGCCCGGCAAAAACGCATAAAAACCAGTGTGGTTAGCGACAAAAAACCTGTGGGGGACTATGCAAAAAACGCATCTTCGCATCGACAGCGGGTGCGCTGGCCATTTATTCCTTATCGGTTGCCTTTGCTGTCAGTGCCCTACTTCACCCTTCTCTTCTCTCAAACGCTCTTATCTCTCCACTGCTTCTTAAATAGAAAATCAAGGTTCCGAGGGATTTAAGTTTTTTTTCAAGTTTTAATTTTTTAAAACCTTATATGCATTTGCACAAAAAATTGGCTAACAATGCTTACTTCTGTAGGATTCGCAGAGTCAGTCATCGTTCCTGGTTGATCTGTTTCATTTGAATGAAGAATCGGATGGTGGCGATTCAGCAAAAGCCGAGAAATCTTGTCCTTTGTTATTTCATTTCCTGATCGACAGGTGATTGCGCGATTCCAAACATCTGTAGGGGCCGTAAATTTTTCACCATAAAAGATTGCTTTTCTCGTTGTGTTTTTCTGTACCGGTAAAAAATAAAGTGAGAATCCGACTGAAGCAAATTCGAATTGCGGGATTTTGCGACATTTTTATCGCTTGTTGTCATTTTTGGTACCAGTTGTAAATTGAGTGTATTTTCCTCCATCATTTCAGACTTCGGTATCTGCCGTTTGCGCGATATCGCCTTGCTTGCCTAGTGCTGCTCCTCGGCATCTCGATCATTTCTCCAGGCTCGTTTTTTTAATCGTTTCAGTAAATGTTTAGCAGTGAACTGAATTGCACGAAAGGAAGAGATAATTAAGCCATTTTTATTTCTGGCGTTGTTTACAAGCCTTTGCTTTATCGAGCTGTACAATTTGTCTGTTATTGATAAGTGCTAGACTTTTTTGCTCGGAGAAGTGATAATAGTGAACTTCTGTTCAGGATTTGCAAGTGGCTTTTTGTGGGGATTATATGTCTCTTTTGTTGGGTTTCTATACTTTTTTGTATCCGGACCCGTGGACAAATCGTCTCCATTGCCAAAGGATGTCGTTCGAAATATATCCAAAGAGCTGGATGAAAAGAAGGCATCGAAAAACGAAATATATAAGGTTAAGCACTAGTTCTTTTATCGAACTATTCCCTGAACTGCAGACTTCATTCTGAATTTAGCGGTGTGTGGACTTTTGTAACATACCCCCTTTCATTTTAAAATTAATTGGAAGTCTGTTTGGAACGAATTTTTGTGTTTTCATGTGCAACAGTGGCCTAGAAATGGTAATGTTCGAAATGAATATTAATGCTGAACGCATACCAGTGTAATCTCGAAACGGCTAAAAACTTCTCAAATCCTTCCATCGATAGGATTTTTTGAATTGGTAGTCCTCTCAGATGACGAAGAAAATAGCAACATCGTCGGCGATTTGATCGCCAGACAACGTGGTATTGGTCGAAACGGTTGGAAGAGTTGTCAGCTGTAGAGTTTGAGAAGTTCATTATGGATTGTCTGTTTCATTTAACACTCTATTCAAAACAGCGTTGATGATGGGACCAACCGTT